GGCCTTAAAATTTGCCACATGTCCCCTAAGGACACTCTATAACTCTTCTATGGATATAATACCTTCAAAAGTTCTTCAATAGATGGAACATCTTTTTAAGGCCCTCTATAGGCATAAGGACTTTACACGTTCTTCCATATACCGTAGGATACATTGGATAGAAAACTTTCTGCAATACTTGGAAACTTTCTGGCGAAGGCATTTCCTAAATCGTTTTTAAAAAGGAAAGAGGATGGGATGTTGATATAAATTAAATTTTCCTCTCCTAACTTCTCTTCCTTTTTCCCTCTCCTCTCTATTTTAGATATCGTTGGCACTACAACAAAGTTCTCCAATGTGTCAATAGTCCTCATATTCAGTATCGCTCCCTATTTGTAGGCCATGGACCTATTTTTCTATCCCAAAAATTTTAAGTGGTCTTTAATTTCAAAATAATTTCCTGGAACTACATAACGTCATAACCAAACCATTTACAATTTGAAAAAAAAAGTTGGGCGAAACCTACAGCTAAAAATGTTCAATTAAAATTTTCAATCCGCATTTGACATTTGCATTTGTTTTGTTATTTCTGATGTGGCATTTGAAAAGTTTTCCGTATTGGCACCGAATATGGTTGCCCAGAAAATGGGTGTTACTCTCGACGCATATTTGGAAGGCCACGCCATTTCTTTATGGCATTTTGGGGTGGCTTCCAACGGTAATGATTGGAGGATGGCCATGTAATCACTGGTCCTCATCAACATTTGCGGTGGTCTATTTTTATACAGATAAAAAATAATCAACGACATATCTCCAACTTGTCGATGATGAAGGCGATTGCAAAAAAAAAAAAAAAAAAAAAAAAAAAAAAAAAACATTTCATCGCCCACAATGAGGAATTTGGCGGCATGTCGGATAATAAAATAAATAAATTGATTGAAAAATAACACAAATCAAACGCTTGTTGATGCTAATGTTGTTGTTGGTGCTGATACTACTGGCTAATGGTCATTTCCAGTACCATTTCAGCAATGCTGTCCAATGGCATTTTTCTAGCCCAAAAATGCCACTTGAGGTGGCATGATGCATGTTATGGAGGAAACGCGAATAAAGGAAAAACATGGGCGAACAATAAATGTAACAAAACACTTTTTCATTGAATAGCCAGCCCAACGCTTTAGCCAAAAGCCTGAACGGGAAAAATCAACTGCGTGTGACCAAAAAAGGATAACCAAGTTAAACCGAAAATGAAAATGGTGCAAAAGCAAACACTCGGTTGAAGTAGTTTTGTTACTGCTGCCTTACAATTGCCCATGACTGGCAATGGTATAGGGAAGTTAAATTGAGAAAAACAGATATGTGGGAAATTCCAGAAAAAATAAACTAACGTAAAATATAAAAAAAATAAGGACCAAAATGTTTAATTTCTTAAAAATATTAATTCAAGGATAATTAGGCGTGGATTTTTTAAAGAATATTTTTTCAAGGATAACAATACACGTGGAATTTTTAAAGAATATTTTTTCAAGGATAATAATAAACGGAGATTTTTTAAAACAATATTTTTTAAGGATCAAAAAACGTGGATTTTTTAAAGAATATTTTTTCAAGGATAATAATAAACGTGGATTTTTTAAAGAATATTTTTTCAAGGATAATAATAAACGTGGATTTTTTAAAGAATATTTTTTCAAGGATAATAATAAACGTGGATTTTCTTAAAGAATGTTTTTTCAAGGTTAATAATCCTCGTTTATATTTCAAAGAATATTTTTTCTAGGATAAGGATGACGTGGATTTTCTTAAAGAATATTTTTTCAAGGATAATAATAAACGTGGATTTTTTAAAGAATATTTTTTCAAGGATAAAAACGTGGAATTTTTAAAAAATGTTTTTTCAAGGATAATAATAAACGTGGATTTTTTAAAGAATATTTTTTCTAGAACCAAATAAATGCGGATTTTTTAAAGAATATTTTTTCAACAACCAAATAAATGTGGATTTTTTAAAGAATATTTTTTCAAGAACCAAATAAATGCGGATTTTTTAAAGAATATTTTTTCAACAACCAAATAAATGTGGATTTTTTAAAGAATATTTTTTCAAGAACCAAATAAATGTGGATTTTTTAAAAACATTTTTGTCAAGGACCAAATTATCTATTTTATTATCCTTGAACAAGCATTCTTTATAAATCCTTTAAAAATATTAATTTAAAAAATCCACATCCTTATTGTCCTTAATAAAATATTCTTTAAGAAATGTTTATTGGTTTTTGAAAAAATATTCTTTACAAAATCCACGTCCTTGAAAAAATATTCTTTACAAAATCCGCGTCCTTGAAAAAATATTCTTTACAAAATCCACGTCCTTGAAAAAATATTCTTTACAAAATCCGCGTCCTTGAAAAAATATTCTTTACAAAATCCACGTCCTTGAAAAAATATTCTTTACAAAATCCGCGTCCTTGAAAAAATATTCTTTACAAAATCCACGTCCTAGAAAAAATATTCTTTACAAAATCCACGTCCTAGAAAAAATATTCTTTACAAAATCCACGTCCTAGAAAAAATATTCTTTACAAAATCCACGTCCTAAAAAAAATATTCTTTACAAAATCAACGTCCTTAAAAAAAAGTAATCTTTAAAAAATCCACGTCCTTGAAAAAATATTCTTTAAGAAATGTTTATTGGTTTTTGAAAAAATATTCTTTAAAAAAATCCTCCTTTGAGTCGGTTCTTGAAAAAATATTCCTTACAAAATCCACGTCCTAGAAAAAATATTCTTTACAAAATCCACGTCCTAGAAAAAATATTCTTTACAAAATCCACGTCCTTGAAAAAAAAGGAATCTTTAAAAAATCCACGTCCTTGAAAAAAAAGGAATCTTTAAAAAATCCACGTCCTTGAAAAAATATTCTTTACAAAATCCACGTCCTTGAAAAAAAGTAATCTTTAAAAAATCCACGTCCTTGAAAAAAAGTAATCTTTAAAAAATCCACGACCTTGAAGAAAAAGTAATCTTTAAAAAATCCACGTCCTTGAAAAAAAAGTAATCTTTAAAAAATCCACGTCCTTGAAAAAAAATAATCTTTAAAAAATCCACGTTTATTTGTCCTTTGGTCCTTGAAAAAAGCAATCTTTAAAAAATCCACGTTTATTTGTCCTTTGGTCCTTGAAAAAATATTCCTTTAAAAAATCCACATTTATTGGTCCTTGAAAAAAAACCACGTTTATTGGTCATTGAAAAAAATATTCTTTAAAAAATCCACGTTTATTGGTCATTGAAAAAAATATTCTTTAAAAAATCAACGTTTATTTGGTCCTTGAAACAATTATTCTTTAAAAAATCCACGTTTATTCAGTCCTTGAAAAAGTTAATCTTTAAAAAATCCACGTTTATTCAGTCCTTGAAAAAGCTAATCTTTAAAAAATCCACGTTTATTTGGTCCTTGAAAAAGTTAATCTTTAAAAAATCCACGTTTATTTGGTCCTTGAAAAAATTATTCCTTAAAAAATCCACGTTTATTTGGTCCTTGAAAAAATTATTCTTTAAAAAATCCACGTTTATTTGGTCCTTGAAAAAATTATTCTTTAAAAAATCCACTTTTATTTGTCCTTGAAAAATGTAATCTTTAAAAAATCCACGTTTATTGGTCCTTGAAAAAAAATATTCTTTAAAAAATCCACGTTTATTGGTCCTTGAAAAAAAATATTCTTTAAAAAAATCCACGTTTATTGGTCCTTGAAAAATATATTCTTTAAAAAATCCATGTTTATTTGGTCCTTGAAAAAATTATTCTTTAAAAAATCCACTTTTATTTGCCCTTGAAAAATGTAATCTTTAAAAAATCCACGTTTATTGGTCCTTGAAAAATATATTCTTTAAAAAAATCCACGTTTATTGGCCCTTGAAAAATATATTCTTTAAAAAATCCTCGTTTCTTGGTCCTTGAAAAAATATTCTCTAAAATCCACGTTTATTGTTCCTTGAAAAAAATATTCTTTAAAAAATCCACGTTAATTGGTCCTTGAAAAAAATATTCTTTAAAAAATCCACGTTTATTGGTCCTTAAAAAAGAAAATTCTTTAAAAAAATCCACGTTTATTGGTCCTTTAAAAAAATATTCTTTAAAAAATCCACGTTTATTTGTCCTTGAAAAATGTAATCTTTAAAAAATCCACGTTTATTGGTCCTTGAAAAAAAATATTCTTTAAAAAATCCACGTTTATTGGTCCTTGAAAAAAAATATTCTTTAAAAAAATCCACGTTTATTGGTCCTTGAAAAATATATTCTTTAAAAAATCCACGTTTATTTGGTCCTTGAAAAAATTATTCTTTAAAAAATCCACTTTTATTTGCCCTTGAAAAATGTAATCTTTAAAAAATCCACGTTTATTGGTCCTTGAAAAATATATTCTTTAAAAAAATCCACGTTTATTGGCCCTTGAAAAATATATTCTTTAAAAAATCCTCGTTTCTTGGTCCTTGAAAAAATATTCTCTAAAATCCACGTTTATTGTTCCTTGAAAAAAATATTCTTTAAAAAATCCACGTTAATTGGTCCTTGAAAAAAATATTCTTTAAAAAATCCACGTTTATTGGTCCTTAAAAAAGAAAATTCTTTAAAAAAATCCACGTTTATTGGTCCTTTAAAAAAATATTCTTTAAAAAATCCACGTTTATTGGTCCTTGAAAAAAATATTGTTTAAAAAATCCACGTTTATTGGTCCTTGAAAAAAATATTCTTTAAAAAATCAATGTTTCTTTGGTCCTTGAAAAATTATTTTTAAAACATCCACGTATATTTGTTCTTTGGTCCTTGAAAATATTTTCTTTAAAAAATCCAAATTTATTTGTCCTTTGGTCCTTGAAAAAATATTCCTTTAAAAAATCCACGTTTATTTTGTCCTTGGCAAAATATTTTTTTTAAATTCCAACAAATTATGGATTGACCCATATATGGTTTCCACGTAGCTCCCTTGCTTGGCATTATGGAAAAAATGTTATTTGCTGATCATGGCAATGGACGTCTATGACTTTTATGATGATGGTTATGACGAGACCAATGACGACGACAGCATCGATATTGACGATGATGATGATGTTGGTGGCGATGATGATGATGTTGGTGGCTATGATGACGATGATTGATTGAACAAATTTGATTGACTTGTGAGAGCTTAGTTTTGTCGAAACAACATTGCTATTCATGTTACACTACTACCACCACAACCTGCCGGTGGCAAATCCAGGCCAACAACAAACCACATCAAGGAAACTTTAGACTTTTAAAGGTAAATCGACCAAGACCCATCAGCAGCAACTACAACTAGGAACCATCCGAAGCAAGACACATTTCAGTTAATGCATTTGTTGGCTGCCAACTGATGTTGTGACTTGTAATGTAACTTGTGGCAGAGAGTAGCTGCAGCATTACACCCTCTGCCTGGTGTTTTTGTGGCAAGTCTTTGTTGTTTTTTGTTTTATTTTTTCTGCCCCAAAAAAGGGGATGCATTTTGGATCAGCATAGTGCCATGGTTTCTAGATGGTTGTATAAAAACTAAAGCATTTCATCACAACATCAGTAGTTGCCCACTGGCATTACAAACTGGCAAATAGTCAACCCTCCAAGAAAATCAAGTGAAGAGAGTGAAAAGAAAAGAAACAAAACAAAGAAATCCAAGTAAACAACTCAAAGTTAATTGAAAATAACGAAAGACTGTGTTTTGAAAAAGGATCAGACCAAAGGATTTCATTTTGTCTTAGTCGAACAGACATATTACATCTTGCAGGGTGTGTGTGTGTGTACGTGAGCGTGTGTTTGTGTGGAAAATACAATTAAAACATTGTTAAAAGCATAATCATGGAAAAACAAAAATATATTGTGAGTAAAAATAAAATAAAAACAATTAAGAAAATAAATAAGTTAAATAAAAATCATTCGAGGTATTTAAAGCTTAATTAAAAGGACTTAAAATAAAAAAGGATTAGTGATTTATGATAGTTAAAAAAATAGTGGAGGCTAAAAGAGAGAAAAAATAAGAGAGAGAGAGGAAAAATAAGAGAGAGAGAAAAATTATTCTTAGAGTTTATTTTCAAAAGTAAAATCTTTACAAGGGATCGAATCAGAAGTCACTTAAATTAGAGTCCCTTTTGGAGATCTTTTTATACCCTCCACAATAGTATGGAGGGTATCTTAAGTTTGTCATTCCGTTTGTAACACCTCGAAATATGCATTTTAGACCCCACAAAGTATATATATTCTTGATAAGCATGAAATTCTATTTCGATTTATCAATGTCCGTCCGTCTATCCGTCCGTCTGTGGAAATCACTCAAGCATCCGAACGATATAAAGTAGGTTGATAAAATTTTACTCAAATGTGTATTATGTCTGCAGGACTTTTGGTATTGGAAATGGGCCATGTAGGTCCATGTTTTCGTATAGCCCCCCATATAACAGTACCTCCCGATATGCGGTATTTTGATGATTTTAAGGACATTATTTACTGGAATAGTTTCAAAATTAATATTTAAAGTTCGTAATAGATACTACGGCTTAAGTTAGAAAATGAGCCATCTAGGTTCACGTCTTCGTATAGGCCCCATATAACGGTACCTCCCGATATTCGGTATTTTGATGATTTTAGCGACATTATTCACCGGAATTGTTTCAAATTTGGTATTTGAAGTTCGTAATGGATATTACAGCCTATGACAGAAAATTGTCTATGCAGGTCCAGGTCTTCGTCTAGGCCCCATGTATCAGTACCTCCCTATATTCGGTATTTTGACGATTTAAGCAACATTAATCACCGGAATTGTTTCAAATTTGGTATTTGAAGTTCGTAATCCTTACTACAGTCTACGGCGGCAAATTGTCTGTGCAGGTCCACGTCTTCGTATAGCCCTCATATATAGGTACTTCCCGATATTCGGTATTTTGATGATTTTAGCGACACTGTTTACCGAAATTTTTTCAATTTTGGTATTTGAAGTTCCTAATGCATACTACATCCTAAGACAGAAAATGAGCTATCTAGGTCCACGTCTTCGTATAGCCCCCATGTAATGGTACCTCCCGATTTTCGACATTTTGACGATTTTAGCGTCATTATTTACCGGAATTTTTTCAAATTTGGTATTTAAAGTTCTTAATCGATACTACAGCCTACCACAGAAAATTGTCTATGCAGGTCCACGTCTTCGTATAGCCCCCATATAACGGTACCTCCCGATATGCGGTATTTTGATGATTTTAGCGGCATTATTTACCGGAATTGTTTCAAAATTAGTACTTGAAGTTCGAAATGGATACTACAGCCTAAAACAGAAAATTGTCTGTGCAGGTCCACGTCTTCGTATAGCCCCCATATAACGGTACCTCCCGATATGCGGTATTTTGATGATTTTAGCGGCATTATTTACCGGAATTGTTTCAAATTTGGTATTTGAAGTTCGTAATGAATGCTACAGCCTATGACAAAAAATTGTCTGTGCAGGTTCGCGTCTTCGTATAGCTCTCATATAACGGTACCTCCCGATATTCGATATTTTGATGACATTATTCACCGGAATTGTTTCAAATTTGGTATTTGAAGTTTGTAATAGATTCTACAGTATTAAACAGAAAATGACGTGGACCTAGTCTTCGTATAGCCACCATATAACGGTACACCCCGATATTCGGTATTTTGATGATTTAAGCGACATGAATCACTGGAATTGTTTCAAATTTGGTATTTGAAGTTCGAAATGGATACTACATCCTAAGACAGAAAATGAGCCATCAAGGTCAACGTCTTCGTATAGCCACCATATAACGGTACCCCCGATATTCGGTATTTTGACGATTTTAGCGGGATTATTTTTCGGAACTTTTTTCAAATTTGATATTTGAAGTTCGTAATGAATACTGCAGCCTATGACAGAAAATTGTCTATGCAGGTCCACGTCTTCGTATAGCCCCCATATAACGGTACCTCCCGATATACGGTATTTTGATGATTTTAGCGACATTATTTACCGGAACTATTTCAAATTTAGTATTTGAAGTTCGGAATGGATGCTACAGCCTTAGACAGAAAATTGTCTGTGCTGATACACATCTTCGTAAAGCCCCCGTATACCGTTACCCCCCTATATTTGGTATTTTGATCATTTTAGTGACATTATTTACCGGAACTATTTCAAATTTGGTATTTGAAGTTCGTAATGAATACTACAGCCTACCACAGAAAATTGTCTGTGCAGGTCCACGTCTTCGTATAGCCCCCATATAATCGTACCACCCGATATTCGGTATTTTGATGATTTTAGAGACATAATTTACCGGAACTATTTCAAATTTGGTATTTGAAGTTTAAAATAAATACTACAGCCTATGACAGAAAATTCTCTGTGCAGGTCCACGTCTTCGTATAGCCCCCATATAACGGTACCCCCCGATATTCGGTATTTTGACGATTTTTTTTCAAGTTTTGCATTTGTATATTTTAATAGCTTGTAACAAAAGTTGCCTATGCAGGTCCACGTCGTCGGACAGACCCTAATGTAACAGCTACATTCGGTATTTTTAAAATTTTAACAGAATTATTAACGGATTTCATTTTTTTTTAAATTGCCAAATTTGTACCAAATGGTGGAGGGTATTCAAAGTTCGGCCCGTCCGAACTTTCAGCTTTTTTACTTGTTTTTTAATTATTTAAAAAAAATTTCGTCCCGCATAGATTGGTTTTCTCATCCTTGGCTCCCTGATAAGCTGCCTGGATGCCGAGATTGTGTATGCCCAAATAACAGGAATGCCAATGCATTTACAACTTCCACCTAATATGAGGCCGCTGCAATCCGCTGGACCACCTCAACTACAGAGGCAACAACGTTCTCTCTATGGTGGGGGATGGCATTCACCAATCCACCCTCCCCCTCCAATTGGTTTGGGACACATCAGCAAGGATGATTTGGTAACACTATTGCAGGCAGCAAAGGAGGTGGCCAAGGAAGAGGCAGCGGCTGCAGCACCCCCAGAGCCGGAGCCCGAACCAGAGCCTGAGCCAGAACCTGAGCCTGAACCAGAGCCCGAACCAGAGGAAGCACCGGCGCCAGATGCTGGTGCCAAGGCTCCACCACCTGGTGTGCCACTCACTGTGAGTTTGCCTGCCTTTGTGCCCATTCAATTGTCGGCCATGTACACTGCCCCGGCACCACCTGCCGCCCCTGAAGCCCCAGCCGAGGGTGGTGATGCGGGCGGCGACGAAGAGGCTGCCGAAGAAGGTGGTGATGAGGAGGAAGCCGAAGAAGAGGAGGAAGAAGAAGTTGTGGAGGAGGAACCTGAACCACCAGCACCCATTCATCCGGCACCCATTCATCCCGGCTATCATGGTTGGGCTCCGGCATATCGTGGTTATCCAGGTTCTAGGCAATTGCCTTTCAGAACTTTCAGTAAACCACGTACCGTTAGCAAGGCCCGTAAGACGACACGCACCAAGTCGAGGAAATTGAAGTCAAAATCCAGATCGAAGACTAGGAAATCGAAAGCCCGGTAAGATAGGATTATTATATTATATTATATTATATTATATTATATTATATTATATTATATTATATTATATTATATTATATTATATTATATTATATTATATTATATTATATTATATTATATTATATTATATTATATATTATATTATATTATATTATATTATATTATATTATATTATATTATATTATATTATATTATATTATATTATATTATATTATATTATATTATATTATATTATATTATATTATATTATATTATATTATATTATATTATATTATATTATATTATATTATATTATATTATATTATATTATATTATATTATATTATATTATATTATATTATATTATATTATATTATATTATATTATATTATATTATATTATATTATATTATATTATATTATATTATATTATATTATATTATATTATATTATATTATATTATATTATATTATATTATATTATATTATATTATATTATATTATATTATATTATATTATATTATATTATATTATATTATATTATATTATATTATATTATATTATATTATATTATATTATATTATATTATATTATATTATATTATATTATTATATTATATTATATTATATTATATTATATTATATTATATTATATTATATTATATTATATTATATTATATTATATTATATTACAAAATTTACAATAAATAAAAATTATTATTAATAATTCTTAAATATTCCTCTCTTTGCAGCAAGGGTTCCCGCAAGGCCGCCAAACCCAGGTATTTTCAAATAAAATATATATATATTTTAATTTAATATTTTTCCACTTCAAATTGTCTCCCCCTTTAGATTCCTCAAATCGAAATTGAGATATGCCGGCTCATCGCAAAGCTTCACAGCTCTACCTCCACCACCGTTTTTGTCCCGGCCCCCAGCACCATTGAAGCTGGTGCCATCCGATCAATTGCTCAGCAATTGGAATTGAGTGTTTTCTTTTCTTTGGCGAAAAGAATAAAAATTAGAGACATTTTTTTAAAAGATTTTTTTCTAGTGGTTTTTTGTTATTGTTGTAAGAATAAATAATTAACACAATTTTGTTTTGTAGTCTGTTAACTAGAATAATTTTGTTTTCTATTTAATTGTATTTTAATACTAATAAGAATCATATGCATTTAAAAAAATAATTAAATATGTGCAATATATCTTAAATAAATGCAAAGTCAATTTTTATATATATTTTTAAATATAAAAATATTTTTTTTTTCAAAAAATATTAAATATCGGAAATCAGGCTATTTATGTCAAAGACTTGGGAGAAATGAGGTTTTGATATTTAAGCCTCTAAGGCGAGCAGCGGAATTTCACATGCAATCAAGTTTCAGAAATATAACTCCAATGGTACAGTGTCAATATATTTCACTACAATTTCTTTAAAAGCTCAACTTTATCACAATCCCAGTTCTAAATCTCAGAATACTCAATACTCCACAGATTTCGAAATCGTATTCTGCAGAATATGCTAGCTTCGTTAGACCTTTAAGCTGTAACAAGCTTTAAAAAAGACTGTGGTTTGGATTTTGCTAAACTCCCTCACATTTAGCGCTTTTGGCACAATGTTAGGTACGAACAAGTAAAAACTGTGTAAGTTCGGCAGGGCCGAACTTTGAATACTCTCCACCAATCGGTGCAAATTTGGCAATTTTCAAAAAAAAAAAAAAATCCGTTAAAAATTCTGTTAAAATCTTAAAAATAGCGAAAGTAGTCGTGTATTTGGATCTACACTACGACGTGGACCTGCATAGGCAACTTTTGCAATAAGCTATTACAATATTCAAATGCGAAACTTGAAAAAAATCTGTTTATAATGTAGCTAAAACCATAAAAATACCGAATATAGGGAGGTACCATGGAGGTTATAAAACGTGGACCTGCACAGAAAATTTTCTGCCATAGGATGAAGTATCGAGTATGAACTTCAAGTACAAAATTTGAAAAAATTCTTGTCAATAATGTCGCTAAAATCATCGAAATACCGAATATCGGGAGTACCGTTATATAGGGGCTAACGAAGTCGTGGACCTACATGACTCATTTTCTGTCCCAGGCTGTAGTATCCATTGCGAACTTCAAATACCAAATTTGAAATAATTTCGGTAAATAATGTCGCTAAAATCATCAAAATACCGAATATCGGGGGGTACTGTTATATGGGGGCTATACGAAGACGTGGACCTACATGGCCTCATTTTCTGTCTTAGGCTGTAGGATCCATTACGAACTTCAAATGCCAATATTGAAACAATTCCGGTAAATAATGTCGCCAAAATCATCAAAATACCGCATATCGGGAGGTACCGTTATATGGGGACTATACCATATGGTGGACCTATATAAACAGTTCTTCTTCAGGGGGTAAGCTACACATGAGGAACACCTTGTGTGGAATTTCAGACAATTCCATTGAAAATGTGGGTAAAATCATCAAAATACAGAATATAGGGGGGTACTGATGTATAGGGGCTATGCGAAGTAGTGGACCTACATGACTCATTTTCTGTCCCAGGTTGTAGTATCCATTGCGAACTTCAAATACCAAATTTGAAATAATTTCGGTAAATAATGTCGCTAAAATCATCAAAATACCGAATATCGGGGGTACTGTTATATGGGGGCTATACGAAAACGTGGACCTACATGGCCTCATTTTCTGTCTTAGGCTGTAGGATCCATTACGAACTTTAAATACCAAATTTGAAACTATTTCGGTGAATAATGTCGCTAAACAACAATTTGAATAACCATAACAAAAGTCAAAATATATTTAAACTATCGAACATTGATGGCAAAACCGACTGATACTTTTTGACTTGTTAAATAATATGTTGTTGATTACGTCTTCGTAAGAAAAGTGTTCTGCATAGGTCGAAGTTTTGGAGCGGTATGACGTTACGGACCAATTATTGGTGTTGCGAATTTTCGGACCAAATTTCTTTACAGGATATGCTTAACTTTGGTACTTCTGATTAGTAGGGATTTTAAAAGCATCAAAATATTTCCCCCATGTTACGGTAACTTCCCATTTTCAGAAAATGTTTAATCCTCCACAGGCAATATATTTATATCTGAACCGGGTTTCTCCAAATTTGAAGTATTAGCTTCTAGACTGAATTCGGTCTTATGTACGAAAAATCAGGTGTTTTGGGCTGATATTGGCCATTTGATGCACAATTAACACGAAATCGGATGAAGATATATATGGGAGCTATATCCAAATCTGAACCGATTTCGATAAAGTTTAAAACAGATATTCCTGTGCTCCATCTAATACCTGGTACCAAATATCACGGTTGTGGAGTGAATATTACGAATGTAAGGGACTAAAACACTAAATGGGATGAAACATATATATGGTTGCTATATCTATATCTGAACCGATTTTCACTAAATTTGATATACTTGCTTCTAGGCTGAATTTGGTCCGATGTACTAAAATTCAGTCCATTTGGACTTATATCGGCCATTTGGTGCACAATTAACCCGAAATCGGATGAAGATATATATGGATGAAGATATATATCCAAATCTGAACCGATTTCGATAAAATTACAAACATCTATTTCTGGGCTGTATATTTTATCTGGTACCAAATATCATTCTTGTGGAGTGCATATTACAAATGTGAGAGGCTTAAACACCAAATCGGATAAAACATATATATGGGAGCTATAGCTGTTTCTTAACCGATTTTCTCCAAATTTGTTGTATTTGCTTTAAGGCTAATCTCGGTCACATGTGCCAAAATTCGGGCCATTTGGGCTGATATTGGCCATTTGGTGGCCAATTAACCTGAAATCGGATGAAGATATATATGGGAGCTATATCCAAATCTGAACCGATTTCGATAAAATTTAAAACAGTTATTTCTGTGCTCCATCTAATACCTGGTACCAAATATCACGGTTGTGGAGTGCACAGTAGGAATGTGAGGGACTTAAAGATCAAATCGGATGAAAGATATATATGGGAGCTATAGCTATATCTGAACCGATTTCCTCCAAATTTGATATACTTGCTTCTAGGCCGAACTCGGTTGGGTGTGCCAAAATTCAGGTAATTTGGACTGATAGTTGACATTTGGTGCATATTTAACCCGAAATCGGATGAAGATATATATGGGAGCTATATCTAAATTTGATCCGATTCTCACCAATTTCAATAGGGTTCGTCCTTGGGCCACAAAAATATTGTTTGGAAAAGTTCATCTCAATCGAATAATAAATACGACCTGCATTTTGTTCACAAGAATACATGGACAGACGGACGGACGGACAGACGGACTGACATGCATAAATCGACTCAGAAAGTGATTCTATGAAGGTTCTCAAAAGTAACTATGGGTCTATCTCGTTTCCTTCTCCATGTTACAAACAAATGCACAAAGACATAATACCCTTATCACTATGTGGTGTAGGGTATAATTACCAACATTTTTTTTTTCGAATACAACTACAGAGTGAGATAAAAAACTAAACAAGGTCAAACGCCATAGTATTTATTATTTTTTAAGTTTTATCGAATTTTAATTTGTATTGAATGTCGGAAATAGTATTAAATTTTAGAATTGGTCACCTTTGGCACGAATTATGGCCTTCAAACGGACAATGAAACTGTCACACGCTGCCCGAATGTTGGTCTGCGTTATTTTGGCCAATCCCAGCGAAGCGCTTGCTTGAGGTGATCGACGCTTTGGTATTTTTTTTTTAGTGCCAACATTAATTTCCAAAATACTCCAGACATAATAGTCCAACGGATTGGTATCCGGAGATTTTAGTGGCCATTGTGCGCTGGAAATAAAGCGAGAAAATCTCATTTTGTAACCATTCTTGGTTGGCGCGTGCTGAGTGCGATGAGTCCTGTTGTGCAAGGATCGCGGTCAAAATGTTTGCGTGCCCAAGGCTTTAACACACCCTCCAGAACATTTTCGCGATAATATTGAAGTCCATCAAGAATAACTTATTTTCTGGAAAATTTTCACCAAATAGTTATATTCTGTCTAATATTACCGTTATTAATACTAGTAGGCGTAATTTTGCGAAGGCCAATATACCCCTACTACGCTCTCTTTCGTTTTATGTGGTGCATCAATGGCGTCATTGATTCATGTGTTTCTAAATTTAATGGACAGCTCAATTTCGCTTTAATTAGCTCCGTACCAATGGCAAAACGATTAGTTGACCAAGGACCTGCCTGGTTTACACCTACACTAAGACGTCAACGCAATATTAAAAATAGATTTTTTAAAATTCTCCAATGATCTAACAGTGCCGCAATTTATCCAAAATATTGGATGGCAAGAAATAGACATAATTCGGAAAATTCCAAATGATATTCTCAGCATTTTGACCAAATGTGGCAGAATTTATTAAACAATCCTAAGAACTTCTGTAAATTTGTAAATTCCAAAAGGAGACCTCCGAAATGTCCTTCCAGCTTGAAACTTGGTAATAAAGAGTCTTTAGACAATCTTGCTGACTTTTTTCAGTCTTCCTATACCCAGGGCACAACTATAGCCCCTTGCGAAATTCATACCACTACTTTGTATCACTTTCCCTGCATTATCTTAATCGAAGACGAAGTCTTCAATTGTCCACAGACATTACGCTCCTCATTTACCTCTGGCCCTGACGGTGTTCCAACCTATATTTTAAAATTTTGTGCTAGAGAATTATACTTACCTTTGAATAAAATATTTAATTACTTCTTGAAAATAGGTCGGACTAGTGGCTTAGAAATGACTCAGGTCTGAAGTTGGTTGCAGTTTTTTCATCTCACCCTGTATATTTTGTATTAAACCAGAAATATTCAGCCTTCCTTAAAACTTAACGTCCCTTACCCTAATATCCTGCATAAATTGATGTTAAGCCTAGTTAAACTACTTTTTCGAAGAACAACACAAATAACTCAGCATTACCACCCTCGCCACTC